CGGATATATGCCATTACAGCTTCTTTTATACCCCTAAAGGTATAGTTTCTTTGGATGAGTTCTATTATTTTGGTAATGCCTGGGTATCCATATATAGGGTCATCGTGATATTATCTAATAATCTTAGTCTAGAGATGCTTTAGTACTTCTTAGTTAATAACTAAGAGTTGGTTGAGTTCTGCCATTGGTTCCAGAGATCCATCTTTGGCTTTACGAAGGATTATAGAGAATGTCTTAACCTTTTCTCCTACTAGGTTACTTCGTTGGCTGAGAGCGTCTACTCGTCCATTTTCTTTTCCTACTACATGGATAATCTTAAACTTATACTACCTAGTGGTCTATAACTATTACTATTGTCGTGGCGTAAGTTCTTTAGTTGTCATGAACTTTAGTAAGTTCTTATAATCCGTGTAGATTTCTAGCGTTAAGTAGCTAAGAGCGTAAATCCTCTAGTGCTTTAAGGCTTTTATAATAGCGTATAGTTCTTTATTATATACATCGTATCGTGTTTCTATATTATTAAATTTGCATAAGTAATAGGCAATCGGGTACCATTTACCATTCCTTTCTTATTTAGCGTAGGCGCCTAGCGTAAGGTCACTAGCGTCTATTTCGAATTGTAATGGTTCATCCACTCGGAAGTGTACTAGGATAGGTTCCATAATGTATGCTATTTTAAGGAGTTGGAACGATTTTCCATACTCTACTATCCATTTGAAAGGTACATCTTTCCTAGTAAGGTTTATTAAGGGTATCGTGATCTTTACATAGTCTTTAATGAACTATTAGTTGAATCCATAGAATCCTAAGAATTCTAGAATGTTCTTGGCTATCTTAGGTATAGGCTAAGTTCTTATGCATTCTACTTTGCTTAGTGCCATCTCTATTCCTTCCGTGGTAATAATGTGTCCTAGGAATTCGAGTCGTTTAACATGGAATTGGCATTTCTTAAGTTTAATTCGTAGGTGTGCCTTGTCCAAAGCTTCAAGTACCATCTGTACATGCTTGATATGGTCAGATTCATTTTCGGAATAGATGAGAATATCATCCATATACGCAATAACGAATATATCTAAATATTCGCGTAGTACGTTATTAACAAGTGCCATAAACGTAGCTAGAGCACCTGTGAGTCTAAAAGGCATAACTACGTATTCGAATAGTCCATAGCGTAATCTAAATGCTGTTTTCTATTCTTCGCCCTTTTTCATTCTGATGAGATGGTATCCGTCCCGTAGGTCCATCATGGTGAAGAGTTTTGCTCGAGAGAGTCGGTCTCTGAGTTCTGATATATTGGGTAATGGGTATCGGTTCTTAATTGT